CAGACTCTCAGATTCTACTGTGCCCTACACAGTGCCTGAGACAGAGCGGGAATCCACTAAGAGCCAGAGAGTCACTTTCCCCTTTCACTCGCCACTGGCACAGGTTCAGAGACAGGTAACTAGGGAAGGGGATCTGTTGAAGAAAACAGGCAGCAGAATTCAATCCTGCAATGACATGATGTGCACCTATTCTCAGAGGGGGCAGAATCGGCTGAGCCCTCCTCCAACATGCCACGGCCAGGGGCTTCATGCCCTGGCCAGGACAATGCTAAGCAGCCTGACCTGAATGAGGCCAAGGTTTACTCATTCTGCAAGCATCTGAATATTTGAGCACCTACTCTATGCTAGACAGTGTGCCTAGTGTGGGGAAAGCACAAGTGGAGTGCATAGTAGGGGATAAAGCCAGTTCTCCAGGCAGTAAACAAATGCTCTACCAGATGTACCCCAGCTCTGAGAGCATCTGGTGGGCCGGAGAAGTATGTGCATGGCAAGAGATATGTTTATTCTCTGCACTTTAAATTTACGTATAATTTACTTTAAGGCCAACAAAGATATTGGACCCACTGTGTGCCCAGCACTGTGCCATGTGCAGAGGTAGACACTTAGAAGATATAGTTTCTGCCTTTTGGGGGCTTACGGGTCTATCGAACACTGAAAATACTTAGAGAAGGATTCAGTGTGTGGGACCCAGGCTAATGAATTTGGAGAAGGGAGAGGCTAGTGTAGACGAAGTAGGTGAAAGTAGAGGCACGGAGCTTTAGGCCCTCAAGGATGTGCAGTCCTTGATCCCTGTGCTTTTTTGCCAATAGTCCCATTTCTAGGATCAAGGACAACGACCCTATCGATGACACCAATAAACCTCCAGCTATGAGTCCAGCCAGGGCTACTGTGGCCAGAGAATGTTCTCAGCTGTTGTCTGGGTCTCCCTGTCCACTGTTTCCATGGAGACCAGTCACCACATTAGGTTGGATGAACCTCAGTAGAAGGGAGGAATAGGATACCCAGATGTGGGGTGACAGCTAATGTGGCTAGAGGCACTAACGCAAGACAGGCAGGACATATGGGGACTGGAAATGGTGAAGATATTTCTGATGGAGGTAGATCCATCTTTAGTTGAAGGGAAGAAAAAGAAAAAGCCTCTAAGGCGGCTGAATGAGACAGTGTCTGGAGCCTGGTGTAGATACCATACCACTGAAATCATTTCAGTTCTCAAACACCAGAGAGCCTTGGGGTGCCAGGCCTTGGCCAGTTGAGCTGAGTGGTATTTAATAGGAAAGTCCTTAGTAGGTCCAGTAACTCAGTCTATGAAGGTAGCATAGGATATTTGTTGAGTCACTCATTGATAGGCTGGTGACAGGCAGTGACAAATCCAACTGGATCACAGATGTACCATTAGGTTTCCCACAAATCACCTTAGGGTAGGGCTGAGGAAAAGCTTCCCCCAAAGGCTTCCTAAGTTTGTTGCTGACCAAGTGATTTATGAGAGCACCGAGTTCAGGAGAACTGGTATCAGAAGTCTACTGGATTTGATAAGAGAGCCTGGACAAAGTGCTAGGTCCCCGCCACCATGGCAGGATAAAGTCAGGATGATGCAAGAATTTGTGGAAGAGACCTCCCTACCTGGGCTCTCCGCAGAATCAGCCCTTGCGCTACCTGGTTCAGTCAATGGTCAGGAGTCACCAGATCCAAACTGCAAAGCTTTATTGCCAATAGTCTCCTTTCCAGGGGCAAACTTTCAAGGCCATTGCCTTTTCCAAGTACCAGAGCAACAGCTCTATCACTTACTAGATGTGTGGCTGTGGGGGCAGTTACTTAATGTCACTGAGCCTACGTTTCCCTCAGCTGCACACAAGAAGGGACAGGTGATTCTCTCTGCTCCAAAGGGATACTGTGGGTGGACCTTGGGGCACACTGTAGGGCACATGGGAAGTCCTCGGTAGACTAGCTCCCTTTCTCCTCTTGCACTCACCTCAATTTCTAACTCCTTGCCAATATCAGATGTTCTGTTTTGAGATGTCCCAAATGAGAAGAGATAATCATGGTCTTCATACCATAACTGTCTTTCAACTTACATGCAAAGGTCTTAACAACTCCTCATTTCTGCTTAAACAGAGGATTTCTAGTTGGAGAGGGCATGGTACACCTCTGAGCTCTAACCCACCCATCTCCCCTGACCCTGTCCCACCCCTGCATTCTCCTGCAAGCCCTTTACAACCTCATAACTCTTATAGTAGAATGACCCATGGAAACCCAGAAGAGGGGGAATACCATGGCCTGCCCATAGCAGTACAAGGGCTGCTTCACCTTCCAAAACTCCTGTATTTATTCAAACAACATGAATGAAGTAAGAGCCTGGGAAATATCAGGCCCTGTGCCAGAGGGAAGGAGTGAGGGGCCATTTCTGACCTCAGGACATAGTCACCCAGGGGAGAAACAGACCTAGAGGAGTTTACAGCAGAGTGTGACATTAGCAATGATGGATCAAGTCAGGGCGGCTGGGGACACATCACCCTTGCAAGGTGCTGCATGAGAATCACCCCAGGCTGAACCCCAAATGAGGGTCAGTGCATCACATCGCCGGGCAGGTATAGGAGACAGGCAGGAGCAGACACTTCACTCCTGGTTTCCAAAATATTACCAAAGCCTGGCCTGGGAATTCCGCTGCCTGGAGGTGGGAGGATTTCTCTGAGGTGCGATTCACATAAAATCAACCATTTTTAAAGTGAACAATTCAGTGACACCTAGAACATTCGCAGTGCTGGGCAACCACCACTGCTGTCTGGGTCCTAAGCATTTTCACCATCCCTCAAGGAAACCCTGTACCCCTTAAGCAGTTACTCCGCATTCCTCTCTCCCCCCAGTCCCTGGCAGCCACCAATCTGCTTTCTGTCTCTCTGGATTTGAAGTGGGAGGATTGCCAAGGGAGGGTTCCTCCCAATTTCTAATTCTTTGGCCCAGGCACCACACTAGGTTCATCAGAACCTGAGGCATAGCTTGCCTTCGGAACTAAATTAGTCAGAGTTCAAATTCCACCTCTGATCTCTTCATACCTGTCCAGTTTCTTTCTTCCTAAATCTCACTTTTTCTACAGATAAAACAAAGTACCTACCTCACAGGACTATTTTAAATATCAAAAGAGAAAAGCCCCATAAAGCAGGACAGCACTGCCCCATAGAATATATTTAATGAATGGTACCGGTAACAATTGCCGTTCTAGAAAACTGTCAACCTGAAAATATCTAATAAATATGTGAGCTCAGTATCTGCCCAGATCCTCATACTTGAAAAAATTATTACAAATAAAACTTTCTAGGAAATCTGAAGAAAGGCTAACTCTGCCCATGAGTGGATAGAGCATGGTTTTGGCATCAGTTTCAGTCCCCATTTGACAACTGGTTGCTTTGTGACCTTGGGAAAGTTGCCATGCCTCTTTGAGCCTGCTCTCTTAACCATGCAATGGTGAAACCATCCACCTCGTAAGACTGTCTTAAAATGTAAGTATTGCCCGGCTGGGTGGCTCAGTTAGTGGGAGCATTGCCTCCTGCACCAAGAGCGTTGCAAGTTTGACTCTCGGTTGGGGCGTGTGAGGGAGGCAACCAATCAATGTTTCCCTCTCACATTGATGTTTCTCTCTCTCTCCCCTCCTCTCTCTCTAAGATCAATGAATGTGTCCTTGAGTGAGGGTTAAAAAAAGAAAAAGAAAAAAATGTAAGCACTTCTACCATGAGCCGGCCCTTAACTGGCTTCATCTTCCCTCTCCCCTCCATTCACTCCCTGATGTTGTCCTTCCCCTGACCCCCAGGCTCCCTGCAGAATCTGTGGCCCCACTGTGTACTCAGCACTTAGGAACTCGATACATGGATTTTATTGTAGGTATTTTGTCCTCAAAGAGTTAGAATATAGCCTGGGAGAGATGACCACTTTAGGTTAGGATCTAAGTCAAATGCCCGGCAAAAACATTGTTTGGTTTGTAAAAACAAAGAAAGAAAAAGAAAAAGAAATTGAAATGTGTTTTTCTTTCCGGGGTATGCCTGCCTTGCATTCTGCCAGAGCCCCCTCTGGCTACATCTTGTCATGTGCCGTTTGCTTTACTTAGAGATATTACCTGCCTGTCCTATAAGCATGTGTGACTCTTGTTTTATTTAGGGTTTTGTTCCTTTCATTGTGCCAAGCACAAAGGGATACCTACCAAATTTTATACCGTACCTCTCCCAACATTATTCTATGTTCATGTCAAGCCCTAGTTTATGAGAGGGAAGCACCACAGAGCACCTCCCGTGCTGGACTGTGGCAAAAGGGACCGAGCAAAACCAATTGCTCTGATTTTCTTTTTTTACTAAACCAATCTTTTACTTTTAAAATTAAATCAAGTTTAATTTAATTATCTTTAAGACTCTGCCTCTGTGAGAGTCGCTTACAAGTTGAAGCTACAGATTCAATCCTATGTTTCAAACCACCACAAAGCCTGCTACCCGCAGGAGCTGGCAGGCAGGCCGGCGGAGCTCCCTCCTAAGGCCCGCTCCCTCCTAAGGCCCGCTCCCTCCTAAGGCCCGCTCCCTCCTAAGGCCGCTCCCGACGTCCTTGAAGTTCATCTGAGACACAAGTGTTGGCCCAGGCCCTTGAAGCAGACCCAGCCTCACCAGAACCAACCCATGCCGGCGGTCCCCAGCTCCTACCCAGGGAGGAGCCAAGGTCCTCCATGAGAATCGGGGGCCCGCAGGAGAGCTGTGGCCGATGCTCAGGCCCAGAAAACCGGGTCTCGGTTGCCGGTCACCTCCCTAAAGAGAGGTCCCACATCCCTCCTTCCACTGCCCCCTCCTGATAAGGGGGGTTCACAGGTGTCCCCTAGACATGTGCCAGGGGGCAGTGCACTGACATGTGCCTGGGACACAGCCAGCTCTAGATTCCCTGAAGCTGGGGGTCAGGATGCGCTCTTGGCCTCTGCCCCCCCGCTCCCAAGACCCCTTGCTAAATACCCCCCCCCCATACCGTCCCCTTACCCTGGGAGGCGGGCCGCATCTCGGGGTGGCTCCAGCAACCCGGGCTTCCTGATCCAGGCTCCTCCTGGCCGAGAGTCCCTGTTCCCCCCTCAGCCCTGTGCCCTGCAGGGACAGGGTGGCTTCCGAGCCTCCATGCAGGCAGCTGGCGTGGCTCGAGGGCCCAGCTCAGCCCCGTCTGCCCGCCCCGAGCGAGGCCATGGCCGGCTTCCGAACGTGCTCGGGGACCTCACTTCCTGGTTTGTCGCTTACAACTGAAAGTGGAAGCGTCTGTCCAGGAGGAAGAAAGCGCCAAATCCACCCTGGCTGCTTTTCAGACGCTTTAACCCCAACCCCTGAGGGCTGGGACGAAAGCCAGCCCACATCCCCTGCTCACTCTTCGCTCTTCAACTACCTCAAACTGAAGACAAAAAAAAAACACACACCCACAAACAAAAATGACAGGAGGTGGCCCTCAGACCACTGTGCCAGAGACATGACGCTGCTCCCGCTGCAGCTACAGAGCAGGGAAGTCCCGCCAGAGGCACCTCAGCCCTTGAACGACTCCCGGGACCTCAGGGGGCACCTGGAGGGCAGCCCAGCCCAGCCCAGCCCCCAGGGTGTCACCTTCTCCCCAGTCCCCAGCATGCCTGCCTCAGGCCCTGAGGCAGTTCTGATAAGGCCAACAGAACAACCAGATCAGAAAAGACAGGGACAGACTATTTTTTTTCCCTATGATACATCAGCTTGTCCTTTTCATACCTCAGACTTTAAATTAAGAACCAATTCTGCTGCTTCCCTCACCTCCCAGATTAAACCTGGAAAAATTAAACCACAGGACCATACAGCACATGTGCCCAGAGCTGTCAGATGGACCCCCACATCTAGTAGCTTCTGGAAAACACCACCACCACCACACTCTCGCGCACACACACACACACACACACACACTCGAGATGATGACAGTGGAAAAGGTAAATAGCTTCTTGGTATTATTATAAAATTGTTTTGAATGTTCAGATCCCTGAAAGGGTCATGGGGATTAGCCTAGTGGTCTCAGGACCTGTATTGGTCTCATTGGATTTGCCTAAGGCTGTAGCCACAGAAGGAGCAGGGAGCTTCCATTCTTAGATTTAGAAGCAGAAATAAGGAGTTTTCCTGCCCCTTCCTCCCACCTCACTAATACCCCAGAAATAAACAGCACTTTCCCAGCCAGTCCTTTACTAGAGCTGCTTAGGATTTCTTCTCTGCATGAGAGAGGAGGTCCTAAAAAGCTCCCACTGAAACAGCCAGGGCGAGCTGGGCCACAGTCTCAGAGGATCTTAGTTGGTCCCTGAGCCTCACGGGAGCCCACCTCAGGCGTGGGAGAAAGACCAAAGACAAGAAAATGAGCATAGCCCCCTCCAGCCCATCTTCTGGGGCATCTCATGGCTGGAGGAGCACTTGGCTTGACTGTTTCAGCAGCTTAACCTACCAAGAGGAAGCTCCCCCAGCAGCGAGCAGGGAAGGCAGAATGGGCGTGGGGTCTCAGCCACCCCGATGCTCGGCTCTTCCCTGGGTGTTGTCTTCTTTCACCAACAGGGTGACGAGCTCAGGGCCAGGACGAGACGAGCCTTCCTTTCCTTTTTTACTGGCTTCCTCCAGAATTGAGCTCTCAAGCCCAGAAGCCTGAGTCATCCTAAAGGTCTAGAAGACTTGTATCCTAGTCAGTGCTCTGAGCACAGGAGTGACTGTCCTGAGATTTGAGAGAACAGCAGGTTTGGCAATCCACAAGAATTCAGCACTGTGCAGCAGCCTGTAGCAACACTGCTCATGACTCAAACCCTTGCCCCAGCCTCCCAGCTCTGTAGCCCAGGCCATGCTGTTCAAGCCCGGAGGCATGCTTGTTTATGAAATGCACCGCCGCCTACCTCCCAGGAGGTGGGGAGCCAGTGAGGCAACCCTGTGGCTCGCCAAGCTGAGAACCCAGCACCTAACAGAGTGTCTGCTAAGACTTCTCCTTTCTTCCAAATGGGAATCGCTGTCAACAGCTGATGAATGAATGCCCTTTCTAACCATATTGACACAGACATTTCTGAATGGGAGATGAAGGAGACCCATATCCCAGCTCTGCCTGTAATCCTTAGAGGTTTTAGCTCTGCTTTGATCATATTTAGTAAAATGGATCATTTTCTCTTTCAAGTCTAGGTCCTGCCAGCATTCAGATAGCTCCCATGTCTACACCTGGTTTCCAATTGATTTTCTTGTGCCTCCCACATAAAGTCAGCTGAGATTAGTACTCAACCAAATACAATTTCATGTTGAAAGAGCCTTAGGCTGAGATGGACACATGTCCCACCTTCCTCCCCCCAACAACTCCCTTCCCAGCTCTCCCACAGACACACACACTCCAGAGCAGGCAGAGTTCGTGCAGTTTACCTCGAAAGGATCCGCTCACTTCCTGGGGGGCAGGGAAGGCGCCCCTCACAGCCGGCTGTACTGGTTCAGCACTGCTTCAAGGCGCCTCTGCCTTTTCCACTGCTTCAGGGACCTGGCCACACCTGAAGCCAATGCGCACTGTCCTGAGAGTGGCCAACAAACTCCCCTGGAAACTTTGAACCTGTTGCAACAGAAGTTCAAAGGTAGAAGTTACCTGTTCAAACACTCGTTGGAACCTCAGACAGTGAAAAGTGTAGAATTTGGCAAAAGGTTAAAACAGGAGATTGTTATGCAACAGGCTTAAGAGGAAGGAAAAAAAAAAAAAAAATAGCCCTCAGCCAATAAAGCTAAGGTTTAACAAAGCAAAACCCTTTGTAGGTCCATACCTCTGGGAAGAAAAGAGTGTAGGTAAGGGCTTTGCATCTGCTTTTGGGGCGGAATCCTTGAGATTGCCACGAGGAAAAGGAGAGGGGCCTGGAGAACAGGGAAAAAGCACCTCCTGAACTGAGGGAGAGAGAAGACTGAGCAGCTGCTCTAATTGCTCCTCAAGCTCTAACCCTAAGGCTTGAATAAGCAGAGGCCAGTGACCACTCCAGAATTAAAATGCCTCCAAACCACCAAGTAAGGCAAATCACTCTAGAGCCTAGCCTGAGGCACAAGCCTAGCTAGGTCATATTAAAATGCAGAATCCTGGCCCTGGCCGGGTTGGTTAGAGTGCTGTCCCCATACCTCAAGGTTGCGGGCTTGATCTCTGATCAGGGCACATACAAGAAGCAACCAGTGAATGCATAAATAAATGGAACAACAAATCGATGATTCTCTTTCTTTCTCTCCCTCTCTCCCTCTCTCTCCCCCTTCCTCTCTCTCTCTCTCAAATCAATCAATTAAAAAAAAAATTAGAATGCAGAGTCCTGGTTCCAAGCTGCACCACCCACAGCTTAGCAAGGCCTGGAAGGAGCAGGGTTGCTAGCGCGTCACTGTTCTGCCTATAGCCTACTCTCTCTTTCCATTTGGAAGTCGCTAGTCCCCATTCTCGTTTCCAAAATCTCGAAGACTAAAAGGCATCATTACTGAACAAAAATTGTGAGTGGAGGTGAAAGAGGCCCTGGAGAGTCTCTTTGATCTCTGTTTAACAGGTGAGGCCAATGAGGCCTTTTCAGGTGAAAGAAATCGCCCAGAATCGCACAACCAGTTATCAAGGCAAGACCTGAGGCAGGGACACAGACACCACCACATTGCCTCTGCCCCATATGGTGCCGCATCATTGGCTCATTTAACCAGAAGACCTTAGACACTTGAAGGCCTTCTGTGTACAAAGCCTGCAGAGATTCGCGGAAATGGCATTAGGTTTCTTCTAACTGTAATTGGTCAGGTGGCCAATAACAAAATTAGAAGCCAGCACCACTTCCTGCTGACTCCTGCGTGGAGGAGTGGAAACCATATTAACAAAGAGGTCTTCTTAGCCCAGATTCTCATCAGGATCTTAGGTGCTCTAACTCTTTAAGGTCACTTCCTGCCACAGAGCCCTAGTCCTGCCTTACTTAGTACCTGAGGAAAAAAACAAAGAGCTTCTAAGAAGTGGCTAAAGAGCTGGGCGCATGAGTCCCACTTGATTGGACAAATGCCTAGGTGTCTTAGAACAGAAGAAGCCGCCCTTTTCAGAGCAAGGTGCTCCAAGCCACTGGTTCCCAAACTTCAGCAAGCATCACAGTCCCCTGGAGAACTTGTTATAGCACTGATTACTGGGCCAGTGCCAGCGTTTTTGGTTCAGAAGGCCTGGTTTGGGTCCTGGGAATCTGCATATCTAACAATTCCAGGTGATATGGAGGCTGCTGGTCTGGGGACCACACTAGGAGCTTACTCTCAGCATCACTGCTCCAAGCAGTCACCTGACCTTCAATGGGCTCAGCTACTGAAATGTTAAAAGAGACTGGGCACAACCCCTGTGTTTGGGGTAGCCTTGGCTATGCCGATGTTGCTGTTGGGAAGATAGCTTGACACGGAGTGGAAGTTGCTATGTGCTGGGCAAGAGAGGTGTTACTCAAGATCAGCAGGCAGAAGGCCCGGAATAGAGGTTTGGCAACAGCGGGAGGAATTGCTACTCACTGTCCCACCTCCTCTTAATGTAGATATAAATCAGAGCCACACAGCAGCACAGCTACACAACCCGCGTGGGTGTGAGTGCAGGAGTGTCAGGGGCATTACCTGATCCAACAGCCCTAACTTTACTCTTGAGGGTACCTGAGATCCCAAAAGGTGAAGTAACTAGCTAGGGTAAGCCATCAATTCAGTAGGGGAGGGAAGTCCAGAACCCAGGCCTCTAGCGCCCTAGCATACTACACCATCTCTTGATAAACCATTGTTTCCTATAGCATCTCTCTTAAAAAAAAAGTGTTAGAGCCCGGCCGGTGTGGCTCAGTGGTTGAGTGTCAATCTGAGAACCAAGAGGTCTATGAACCAGGAGGTCACTGTTCGATTCCCAGTCAGGGCACATGCCTGGGTTTCGGGCTTGATCCCCAGTAGGGGGTGTGCAGGAAGCAGCTGATCAATGACTCTCTCATAACTGATGTTTCTCTTTTTCTCTCCCTCTCCCTTCCTCTGTCTGAAATCAATAAAAACATATTAAAAAAAAGTGTTAGAACAAAAA